CTTAACGAGAACATCTAGCTCTTCAAGATTACCCAAACTTTCCTTGCGGCATACAAACTCCTTTACTTCAGCCCACAGGTTTTCGATCAGATTCAGGTCTGGGCTCTGCGGGGCCACTCCATTACACAAACCTGGTTTTTAACCAAAAACTCCATTGCCATATCATCCTTGTAAGATCTTGCATTATCTTGGACAAAGTATGGTTGGTCACAATCACTATTTGCCGAAAAATTTTTTATAGTGGGAGGGTATATTTCTGGATAATCTCAAGGTGTAATACACTATTGCCATTGGATTTTAATACAACAAGGGGTCTGACCCCAAACTACGAGAAACAGCTCAATACATATGCCCTGGGCTTCGCTTGACAGTAGGGCTTATACAATCTATTTCCCATTTTCATGCGATTCTCTCCATACACAGCCAGGGGAACTTTGAAAAACACAGATATATGTTTCATCCAATCACAACACACACTTGAAATGCTGAACAGACCACTCCTGGTGTTTAAGTGCTCATTCATACCTTTTTTTTATTCATTTCAGAGATGAGCAGCTTTGGGGAAATAACACATGAGAACAAGTTAATATCATGCAAAACACGATGCACAGTACATTTTAAGATTGTTTTTCCAGCTTGGTAATTGTAAAGGTTCGTTATTTGGATAAGACTAAGATGGCGATTGTCATTGGTAACTAAGTCTTTCAGGTCTTCATGTTCAGTAGAGATTAGAGTTTTTAAACGACCGGAGGTTTTTTTTTTTTTTTTTGCGCTTCTGCGCCCACCTTACTGTACTCCTTTATTATATTTAACACAGCAAATTTACTACACCCAACTGCAGCCGCAATTGTACGGAGTGAATCTTTACGCTGGTGACCATAGATTATTGCTTCTCTTTAACTTTCGCTTAAGTCTTTCTTTGCGCCTATTTTTCGTGAAAAAAAAAATAAAGTTGATCTTTTTTTTAATTTATGCTGATCCATCATACAAATAAACAATTTTTTATATAGTGTCACGTTACCTGGGTGTCACACTACATTTGTGCAAAATTTGATGCGATTTGAACAATTTGATTTTTTACGAATTTTTTTTTAAAAAAAAAAATCCGTAAAACTGATCTTCGTATATATCCAAAAATAGTACTTCGTCCTACCTTTTGCATTATTTCTGCACGATCTAACGAAATTGCACGAAATTTTAGTATGTTGCATCACGGGATTTGCCAATCACGTGATATGAATTTTGTACTATGCTTACTTACCTGATTTCGAACAATTAAAGTTCAAAAAGTGTCCACAATAATATGCTACCCCCCTGTAGTATGTAATTCTGCTGATTCTTGATGATAAATGAATTATATTCATTCAATTTCTTTTGTAACGATATGTTCACTTGCGTGTTCTATCTTAGCCGCCTTTTTGAAATAGATAAACGCACTATTATTTTTTTTCAATTCCAATTTCATTAAAGTAATAATTTCCAATATTGTATGTTCTCTCAGAATTTCCTATTTTTGCTAATTTCTGATAATATATGAATTAACCTAATTAAAAAAATTAAAAGTCGAACATTAGATATTTTTACAATATTCGATTATTATATATAAAACCAAAAATCATAAACTGCCCATTCTGTTTGCTAGTTTCTACCAATAACCAACGGACTAGGATATTATAATTGCTATGTACAAATAAATATGTAATAAATAAAACTTATATGAATTCAGTTTAGGCGTATGTAAATATAAATCGCATTAAATCAAATCGGGAAATTCTAGTCCAAACAGACCAAGAGCGCAGATTCCGTTATTATTAGAGTAACTAAAATTGAAAGAACAAACGGTTGTAATTAGTGAAGTTAGCTTTTAATTAAAATAAATTAATTAAAACAAATTAATTTTTTAATTAATTAAAAAATTATATCGTTACTTAATACTTTTGTCTTCAATGCATTAAAATGCGACAAATGATTATAATTAGTAAAAAGACTTCTAATTAAAATCTAAAAATAAATTAAAACCAAATCGTGCTACTATTGAATGCTTACATGTCTTCAATAGATTTGAATTCCTAAAAACTGTTGCGATAAATGTAATTAAAAATTACTAAAAATAAATAAACCAATTAAAATCATTATAAAATATCGCTTCACGTTTTCAATACATTTGGATTTCTAAAAATTATTAAACAATATAATAAATCATGAGTAATGTATATTTTAAATACAATCCCGAAAATTGTAATTAATCGTCGATTATGTAATTCTATATCACCTGTGCTTTGGTTGGCTATAATTGCAAATGCTTAAAAAAATAATAATTAAAAAGTTCAATCGCTAAATGTAATGTAACATAACTATTGAGAAAGATACATAACCAGAAAGACCAGCATATTAATATTCATAGTAAAATAAGAAGCGGGATAGTCAGCTTAGAATATTTTTTCGTGTGGTTTGAAATAATTGATATGTACCACGATCAGTATAATCGTACCCATAGTAAAAAGGTAGTTTAGCATTTTCACTATAAGGGTAAATTGATTCTTTACAACGCATACTTCCATTCGAAGTTCATCTAGTGAACAATATTGTTGTTAGCATTATCATATGCTTTGCCATAAAATTATATGTAAAATTATAAGATAGTTTTTTGTATAAATAAAGTGGTTTTTCGCATGCCATATTTGTGAATTAAAATCGAAAGTTTCTTGCCAATTAAATAGATCAACTACGTTGTTGAGTAATTAAAAGTTATTTCTTCACTGGATACTATTGCAAGTAATAAACCCATAGCATAACGGAACATCGTATTAATCAACTTCATATTCCAAGCCTCGTTCGAAATTGATTTTTTCATTGTTATTCCATAGCAATATACTTATCACAATCACATAGCCCTAATACTAGTGAAATTTAGCTATTTTAATAAAATGAACACTGATAACATGTCCAAGGGTAAGAGTCAATAAGTGTAAAATCTGTTAAAACCAATTTGTCTATTACTAACTATAAGTTTTTTTTTAAAAAAAAACCAGAAACCTCAACCCAAAACATCAAAATGACATGTAGCACCTGTAAAACTACAAGAATTGCTGCGAATTTCTATCATATTTCTGGTGGCAAACTATGTTTGCATGCTACATGTAACCAATGTTCTGCAAGATTAAAAAATAAACGAAAAGAAAAAAAAGCATCCTCGTCACAAACAAAATCAAAACCTGAAGTAGTTCAAGACGGAAATACCTTTACTAATCCCAGCATTAATAAGGATCCAGAAAATATGGATTTATTTTCTGAAAGTTTAATTGGGCACCAGGAAACGTTGCAGTATGAAAATGATGAATATGAAGGTCTAGATGAATATGAAAATATGGATGAATATGAAGATCAGGATGAAGAACATGATGATGATGATGATCCAAAGGTGTTACGGTATGATTTGGATGAAATGCATGAAGTTACATCCAAAATATTCGAAGAAAAAGAAACACTAAATGAGGCTGTAAATTTTGCTTATGAGATTGAGATAGACCAAGACCTTCTTGTTACTGCTTCCTTGACTCAATCTGATTTAGTTCATAATAATGATTTAAAGACAATAGAAGATAATTTTCGCAAACTTGCCCACATGCTTATCGTGCCGCTTGAGTTAGGTTCCGGCTATTATTGGGAGGTACGCAACATACATTTAAATACCTGGAAAAAATCATTTTCAGGCTCTGCAACTATATATCTCGGCTACACAATGCGAGAAGACCGGGCCTGGAAAAGATCGGATAATCAACCACCTCAAAGAATAAGTGAAATCCGTGCACCAATAGAAAGGTATAACTGTGTAGGAAATATAAAGCTTACTATAATACCAAAAGAGCAATATATTTTAGTTAAGGGACATCACAATATGGCACATAAAAAACCAACCTACCGACAAGTGAAGTTTCCTGTTGAAGCTAAAGAATGGATTAGAAACAACATTTTATTTAATATAAGATGTACCGAAATGCATCGTCGGCTCCATATAAGCAATCTCATAAATCCAGAAATTCACACACTTGAACAGGTGTACTATTGGATATATATATATAGTAAGAGTACATATATAATAAATAAGGATAATCCACTTTTATCCGCCAAACAATATCTTGAACAGCCTAAATTTATAGAAAAAGGATTTAAAATTCTTAATTATCTTGAGAATAATTTTGTACGAACCTTAGGATTTTTGACACCATTATTTAAACAAATTGGCGTCGAAAACGCAACAGAAATTGTCATTGATTCAACATTTAAGACAAACCAAGAGAGGTTTGAATTATTTGTTGTGAATCTAAACTGTGGCGGGTATGGTATGCCAATAGCGTATCTGTATCTTTCCACCTTAGATGGTACTGAGGAAGCAAGAAATAATCCAGCTAACATTATAAAAACACGTGTTGAAGTGTTACGTATGTTTTTTATTAGCCTTCGCCAGGAGGGGTTGTATCCAGTATTTGTATTAATAGACAAAGATGCAGGCGAAATATCATCAGTTAGTGAAGCTTGGTCATGGACGGCCAGCATTCAGATTTGTCATTGGCATATATTACATGCTATTGATAGAAAATTAAAAGAAAAAAAGTTAAAAGCAAATATGTATTCCACAACTAAAGCACAAGAAGCACATAAAAAGTTTGAGTTCATCGATCCATTGTGGATTCACGATAGGACTGGATCCTTCTGTCCGGATAACTATATTAAAGAAGTTTTAGATATGGTTAGAAAACATTCATCCATGCACCCACTAATCCCAGTTGCCAAAAACCACTATATGATATCAAGTGAAATCTATCGTTTTTGCATTCAAGAATTATACCAGTTTTGCCACTCACATAGTCTCGTTAGATTATGGGGATATTTGTGGTCAAACTGGTATAATGAAAAGGATTGGAAATTATTTGCATTGTCCTCATATCCACTAGCCATTCCTTTTGCTCATACCACAATGATTACAGAAAGTCATTGGAGGATCCTTAAATATAATTATAAATATAATTATAACCGACCAAGAATAGATCATCTCACTCAAATTATAATTGAGCAACTTGTTCCCGATTTTGAGATTAAATTGGTACAATATAATGGCAATCGAAATTTTCCGTCATGGTGGCATGAATTTAAAGCAGAATGGCGTAAAGCAGCAATAGCTGATATCTAATCTAATATGGAAGAAAGATACCATATTGATGTGGACAACTGGGTATGCTCTTGCCCAGCATATTTGCATAGCTGTTATCACTTGTGCAAGCATCTTATTAGTAAAAAAAATGGAACGCATTTTTTGCCAACCTTTTTGGAAACCTCACAACGACATGACCTTCCTCTTCTTGTTTTTAATGATAAGAAGCCAGTCATTAATCCAATTAATAATCCCTGGACTAGGCTATGCGCAATTAATGTGATTGACAATCCTATTGAAGTTCGTTTCAACTCAAGTAATTTACAAAATGAATTAATAACAAATCATAATTTAATGGAGGAAAGACGAGAAAAATATACTTATTACAAAAAAAAATTCAACATAGCATTAGAATTATATAATAAGGAAATGGATAATAATAATTTTGTGAATAAGTTTGACGAATTGATGAAACCATTGTTAAAAGAAATTGAAGAATGCGAAAAAACATTGAAAGCCCATAAGCAACAATCTACTTGGCAATCTAAGGGAAAACTTGCCATGTAGTTGCGTTGATCAAAAACCTAGCTTATAAAGACCTA